TATATATATATATATATATATATATATATATATTCTGAAGAAATCCTAAAAAATAATAGAAGCGAGAAAAGGATGCTAAAATACCCAAAAAAGACCAAAATTGGTTGAGGAGATTCAAAAATGCAAAAGATTGAAATTTGATAATATATTTTTTATTTACGAGGGCCTTGTTGACAAAAAAAATTCAAGTTGAGAAAGAAAAGTCTAAAATCAAATATTTATGGACTTAATTAAATTTTATCTAAGGTTTAATTGAATTTATGGAGGGTTGGATTGCAAGAAAATTTGATTTTTAGATCAATTTAGGCTTTTATTAGAAGAAATTAAAGTTATGGGGTCCAATTATAATTTTAGAAAGTTCATTTCGTCATAGCAAGGGTTGATTGCATTATTATTGAAGTTTGATGACCAATTAGGGACTTGATTGAAACAATCTAAAACCAAGGACCAAACTGGAAAAGGTACTAAAATCAAGGGATCTAATTAAAATTTATTCAGGGGCTTGAATACAAAATTATAAAAACATCAAAGGATCAAATCTGAAATATCCATTTTGAAATAGAAACGATGTCATTTCAACTGTTCATTATCTTCTTTAACTGCAACAGTTTCTGCAGTAAAATCAATATCGACGTTAGTAGTGAGCCACTTCAATCAAAGAGCACGTTTTATGGTTAACATCCTCGCTACAGTGATGCATGATAGCAGTTATTAAGAAACACCTACGTCCTCTAGCTATAAAAGCCAGAGGAGGAACCGAACTAAGAGAAAAGGAGGAAAAAAGAGAGAGGAAAGAAAAAAACAGAGGGAGAGGGGAACATAAAGAAGAAAATAGAGAGGGGGAGAGTGCAAGGAAGCAAAGGATGGCAGAGGAGAGATAAACATGATGGAGGGAGGGTTTTGAGACTAATGAAAACCTGATAGGGGGTTTTTACAAACGAATGAAAAACAAAGGGAGAAAAGAAGAATAAAAAAACAAAGAGAGCAGGGGTGGAGGCAGAAAGAAAAACATAGAGAGAACAAAAAAAAAGTGAGAACAGGGAGAATAACAAAAACAAAGAGAAACATTGCCAACCAATACACGAGCATCAACTACACTAGAAAGAAAAACAAAAGGGAGGGAACGATCACAGAGAAACAAAAGGGATGAAAAACATGGGAGAATAGAGGAGGCAAAGAGAAGGAGAAAGAAAGAAAAAGAACTAAAGAGAGTAGAAAGCAAAAGAAAACATAGACGAGAAGGAAAAGACAAATGCAAACTAACCAAATAAAGAAAAAAATCAAGGGAAGCATACAGAGGACTGGGAATTAACACCAAAAAAAGCAGAGATAAAATAGGAAAAAAAAAGACCCAGCATTGTTCTTCTTCATCGTTCCCAGAACTAGTCACCACTGATCTTGCATAGCAATTTCATCGCCATCATCTTTGTTTGTTTCATTTACCAAGTAAGCTTCATGTATCTCTTCAAGTTGCATTTTTCTGTCATTGCATGAACTTGTTCTTTCATTGTTATGAGTTATTGTCCTAGTAAATTATAATTCACTAA